TTCCCTTCCTCACCCCGACTAACCCACTCTCCTCTTCTTCTTCTTCTCTTCCTTCCTTTGACTCAACACCCCCACCCCCAAACCCTCTCCTGACTCCACCCACCATCACACCTTCCACCTTTTCCTTTTGTTTATCTTCCCGTCTCTTTTTTTACTCAGTATTTTCCTCCAATCCCGTCTCCCCCTCCCCCTCCCCCTCCCCCACCGCTCCAGTGCATCACCACGTTAACCCTTCTCTCCGTCCTCCTCCTCTCTGTCTCCCGTTCTCTCTGCCAGCAGGAGGAAGACGAGGAGGAGGAGGAGGAAGAGCTGCAGGAGAGGGCCAAGCGCTCTCGCAGAAGCGGCACCCCCCGTCGCCCTGGAGACCGCTGGATGCTGCGGGGCCCCATCGAGTACGTCCCCCCTGCCAGCGTGGAGGTGTTGCTGCGGCGCGAAGCCATCCCGCTGGATGAGAACGAAGGCATCTACGTCAGGGACATCAAAACGGGAAAGGTAGGAGTGGCCTCAGTGTTCCCAGCCCCGCCTCTTTACAGAACGCTGCAGTCAGGTGACGCGCTATTGGACGGAGGAGCACTCGTCTTCTACGTGATGCTCTCACATGGTGCTGGTCTGTCTAACATGTCGGTCCAAAATCTCCCGTAGGTGTTCAGTTCAGGTGAGATGTGTGACTGTGAGGGTCAAAGGTCAATCTCCTCATTAAAGCACTCAGAGCCCAGTGGATGGATCCAACCTGGGAGAGCGCTCTCCCATCACGGTCCGAGGGTCGTCAGCGTTTATCTGACCGTCGTGTTCAGGCGACCTGAAGCGTCACGGCAGAATGTCGCAGCAGCTCACAGGCTGTGTGTGACGATGGGCGGAGCTTCCAGGACAGAAGAGTCCTTTAAACCGTCCTCGTGACCAGCAGGGGGCGACTCCTGCGTTAGTAAAGATTGCCTCAGCTCATCATCATCACAGGACCTCAGTGCAGAGCCTTTAGGGTTTCCTTTTACGTGTCACGTGTCTGTAAATGATGATCGTGGTCAACGCCATAGCAACGTATTGCTGGTCTGCAGGTGCGCGCGGTGATTGGTCACACCTACATGCTGACTCACGACGAGGAGCTGTGGGAGAAGGACCTTCCTCCGAACGTCGAGGCCCTGCTGGCCGCTCGTCTCGACCCGCTTGCCGACCGCTCGGACCGCGGCCAGCAGGCACCGGCCGACCCGAGGGAGAAGACCAGGGTGGTGTCCTTCAGGGTGCCCCACAACGCCGCCGTGCAGGTCTACGACTACAGGGAGAAGAAAGCCAGGTGGGCGCCGCTGTGGGTTGGGGTTAAATGAAGCTGAACTGGTGCTGATGGTGTTCTGTCTGCAGGGTGGTGTTTGGACCGGAGATGGTGATGCTGGGACCCGACGAGCAGTTCACCGTGCTGTCGCTGTCCGGGGACAAGCCGAAGAGGGCCAACGTCATCAAGGCCATCTGCCTCCTGCTGGGGCCCGACTTCTTCACCGACATCATCACCATCGAGACGGCCGACCACGCCCGGCTGCAGCTGCAGCTCTCCTACAACTGGTAAGCGCACGCTCGTGTGAGTGCGTGGAGAGGCCGGTCCACGGCGCAGCAGCGTGATCTCTGACTGCTCCGGGTTTTTAAAGAAAGTTCATTTCCGGGTTAAAGTGCCGACAAACGCAGACGCCTCTCAGTCCTAAGTGTTTCTTACCTTGGCTCCTCCCCCTCACCCTCGCAGGCACTTCGAGGTGAAGTCTCGGACGGACGCAGCCGACGCCGCGGCCGTGTTTTCAGTCCCCGACTTTGTGGGCGACGCCTGTAAAGCCATCGCATCGCGGATCCGTGGAGCTGTTGCCTCGGTGCAGTTTGATGATTTCCACAAGGTTTGTATCAGGACATCCAGCCTGTGATGAGTTTTTACTCTCAGATGAAGTTAAATCACCAACTGATGAAAAACAAGCCGGTCTGCAGGTCTGTGTTTGTTCACTCGAGGAGCTTTGTATGATTCAGTTTGAAATAATCCTTCTTTGTCTCACACTGAGCCTGAGAGCCTCTGAAACGAGCTGTTTCACCCCCAGACCAGCGCAGGCTCGAGTAAAGTTTTCTCCTCATAATTAATGTCAGCTCGACAAACTGAGCGTGCTCAGGCTTGATGAGAACAAATGTGCCTCCATCTGTTGTGGAGCTGGAGTCTGAACCGAGCCGCACAGGTCACATGATTCAAATAGAGATATAAGATCTTCACTTCGTCTCTGTGGATCATAACTGCTCAGCTCACGTCCGAGTGCAACAATCATTTAAAAATCCCAGATTCTGACGTGATCGTTGAGCCGACGTGTTTCTGTCTGCAGAACTCGAACCGCATCATCTGCTCGGCCGTGTTCGGCTTCGACGAGAAGATGCAGGTTCGCTCGAGTCTTCGCTTCAGCCAGAACAACCTGGTGATCAGCAGCGTGGACATCCAGTCCGTGGAGCCCGTCGACCAGCGCACACGAGATGCCCTGCAGAAGAGCGTCCAGCTGGCCATCGAGATCACCACCAACTCCCAGGAAGCGGCTGCACGGTCCGACGCGCACGCACACACACACACACACACACACAGAATCAATGAGACGGCGCAGCTTCATGAGGTTTGCTTGCGTGCAGACACGAGGCCGAGCGTCTGGAGCAGGAGGCGCGGGGGAAGCTGGAGAGGCAGCGGATCACCGACCAGGCCGAGGCGGAGCGAGCCAGGAAGGAGCTGCTGGAGCTGGAGGCGCTCAGGTGAAGCCAGACGCCACCAGCAGGAGGAAATCAGAGCGTTAAATGGCTCTTAAATATCTTAAGATCACAGAATGCAAACGAACCACAATAACGATATTAATTATGAGACTTCGTTTCATGTCTGTCGTCACATTTTTGTCCGATTTTTGAAGATCAGCTTGGAGCTGCTTCCATGAGGCAGAGCTCGAATGTAGCAAAGACTTTGACCGACTCCAACCATCAGAACTAATGTGCGTGTGTGTGCGTGTGTGTGCGTGTGTGTGCGTGTGTGTGCGTGTGTG